AGCCCAACAGAAGCGAAGGTACCACATTCTATAAGAAAAGACCTTGGTGCTGCATGTCATCTGTAGTCCTATGCAGCAGGAGTTTGGAAGGGACCACAAATCTCCAAAGCCAAACAGGCCCTGGGTAACTTTGGGGGGATGGGAGGGACTTTCAGGGTTTTTTGTTTGTTTGTTTTTTTCGAGACTGGGTTTCTCTGTGTAGTTTTGGAGCCTGTCCTGGATCTCGCTCTGTAGACCAGGCTGTCCTCGAACTCACAGAGATCCATCCACCTGCCTCTGCCTCCCGAGTGCTGGGATTAAAGGTGTGCGCCGCCTGGCTCGGCTTCAGGTTTTAATAAGACTGACAGCTCCCTGCATCAGGGAGGAATCCTCCAAGATGGTTTGCCCAGTACCGAGTGTCTGTCTTCGTGGCTCTCAACCTCCCCTCACCCTTGAGCTACATAGTCTTACAGAAACTATCACCAGAATCTTCTGTCTAGGTACTGAGAACACTCTGTGCTCTGTAGGAGAACCAAAGTAACGCGTGGCTGGACAGGCCACCTCAGCCGTGGTCTCAGCACCAAGCAGACAGCCTCCCCACCCAGTCCTCTCCCAACCCCGACCTCACCGAGAGGAAGTCTGGCTTGGTGTTGGAGCCCCGTAGAGAGTATTTGTTCAGCACGGGCCTGGCCTGGGGTTTATCCCAACACAACTAATGAATGAATGAAATCCAGAAGAGCCATCCTGGGACTGGGGGTGTGGCTCAGTGTTCCAGTATTTGCCTAGCATGCAAAAGGCCATACGTTCCATAAGAGTTCACAGACAGGAAAGGGACATACTGTTTAGCTCCAGCTGGCCTCTTGAAACGTACAGACTGTAATCAGTAAACTTCTGAAGAAGCCAGTAACTTAACACCAACAGGAACTCATCAGCTATCTCCTCCATAGCCTTGCCAGAGTGGACAGGAAATGGATGGCCCCACCTGGGCTGCCAAGGGAAGTGTGAACCACAACCCACTTTGGGAATGAAGGTTACCAAAAATTACTTCCCATGGGCATAAAAATTAAGCCCTAAAACAAATTATATCTAAAGTATCAGTGGATGCCAGGCATGGTAGTACATGTCTGTACTACCTCCATCGATGCCCACTAGGCTCTAGGAGTTTCTCCAGGACCTCTGTGATGTCACCATTTTCTTCCAGCAAGTGGTTGAGCACAGACATGTACATGAGGGGAAGATCAGGCCCTCAGGGCTGCCCTGGGCAACAAAGCAAGATTCTGTCTCAAAAACAAGGAGGAGGAGCAATAACAATAACAATAACGTAATATGCATCCTACATTCTACCCCTGGTCCAGCTCCCCTCTTGTCCTGTCCTAGGTCCAAAAGTCTAGTGCCTCTTCACGAAGGGCCCCTCGGCAGGCTCCCCCGGGAGACGTGTGGAGGTCCAAAAGCAGGAAGCACATTGGTAGACAATAGCACTGATTCTTCCCAGGATCCAATTGCTCTCCAGAGGAAGACTCCGAACCTCGGCCCATGAAGGGAAGATGGAGAAGAGGTAACCCACCCAGCAGGTACCACCACCCTGTGGGGCACAGGGAGAGCTTTGGTGGTACACAGAGATCTTTACTTTTTCTAAGAGTTATGGAAAGGGAGTCCAAGCCCAGACCTGGCAGAGCAGCCCTGCTGGGGACCGGCAGCTCCCCACGCTGGGAGGGACCCTGCTTGGTAGATATACACATACATACATACATGCATACATGCATACATACATACATACATACATACGTGTCCTTAGGAAAAGGGAGCGAAGAAATGTGAGCAGGGAGGACGGGGCGGGGGAGGGGGGCCTCGGCTCGTTCAGCTCTGCTCTCAGAAACACTGTGAGGTAATGGCTTGAACTCCTCCTCCTCCTCAGGAGGCTGTGGAGGAGGACATCTGAACTCAGCCTCCCCACCGAAGGGTTCTCTGTGGCTTTGAGCTCCTTGACTGACCACCCCTGCCTGGCTGCCTCCTCAGGCTCCCCAGGCTGGGGAAGTTCACCCTGCTGTTGGCCGCGCTCAGTGCCCCTTCTGAAGGAAAGGCTGTCGTTTCCCCAGGGAGCACTGCAAGCTACCCTGGTTGGGGAGGCCTATCTGAGGTGTGAAAAAGACATCCTGAGAGGAGAGCATTTTCCCTGAAGGACTGCTCTCGGGGTCAGCTAGAGTTCAAGGTGCCTGGTGCCCAGGCCTGGTCACATTCAGTGGTGTTGCAGGTTAGGACTCGAATATTCTTTTTTTTTTTTTTTTGGTGGGTGTCAGGGAAGATGGGGATGGCACTATTCGGCTGATAATAATACTGAGACCATACATAGCATTGCCATGACAGGCGCAGATGCGTCAGAGCTGTGTTGGTGCGGGCGCCATAAGGACTGTGTATGACTCGCCCAGCTGCTGCAGACTCCATTCCATCTTGGAACACTCACAGGTAATTTCATGAGCAGGCTGCAATTCACACCTGGATCTTCCATCACCGCGACCTGTCAACAGTCAGATGTGGCTTGCTTGGACACATTTTCCAGGTGTCACAAGGCAATTCAACACATGGCAGATCAGCCGTTGCTCTGTGGGTGAGGACAAGCATCCAGCAGTCATATCTGAAGGTTGTCCTCAAGACTTGGAACTCAGTCTATCTGCTTTCAGTTGGTTTGTTTGGTTGGAAACGGTCTCACTGTGTAGCCCAGGCTAGCCTTGAATTCACTGTGAAGTCCAAGCTGCCTGACAACCCCTGTTCCTCCTGTTTCCACCTCCCAAGTGCTAGGATGATAAGCATGTGCCACCGAACCATACTTCATTTTCTTATCTCTAAGCCGGCGCGCCCACACCAGACAGTCTTCCGGGGTAATTTGAGCAAGAATCCTCTGCAGATCTATTGCCCCAAACACACTCACGTCTGACATGGCCATTTGTATCCCTTCTGGAGCCCTCTTTGCATTGCTGACTTCAAGCAAGCTAATTAATTATTTTAGACACCACTATTAAATCGACACAGTGATTAATCTGATAATCCTTTTTATGAAATTACCTCTGAAATGCTAACTTTTCATCTTTGAAACTCACTGTGTAAATTACTCTGAAGATTACATTGTACGGCTTTCGGCTCTGTAAATCTTAATGGCGGTGTTTTGCCAAAAGCAATAAAAGCTGTCCTGGATTTATCAAGTCAATCGGGGAAGAGGCAGGCAGGAAATTGAAGGTGACTCACACTGCAAGCGTGCACGTGTGTGGGGGGTTAGCTGAGGAAACTGCTGGAACTTGCCACTGTGGTCACATGCAGCCAAGGCTATTAGTAGCCTCAAGAGGCAGAGGGGTGTACAGAGCCCCTGTCACAACGGCCGAGGCTCCCTGTCAGAGAACGTGGATCTTACAGGCCTTCTCTTCTTGACCCCACCCATCATCTCCCAGTGCACAGGGCTGGGTCGCACGAGGCCCACTACCTGAGCTCAAAGCTGAGGATAGAATGATAGCCCCGGACCCTGCACAGGCCCCCAGGTGCCCCCAGAGGCAGGGAGTATGCTCGGCCAGTTGCCTAATTATCCAAGGAGCAGCGGGGAGGGCGCTGGAGCCGGACTAAAGGACCACAGTGGGGAGACCCAGTGGGCCGGACCCTGGACCTCAGGTTGACTTGAATCACTCTAGCCAAGCTTTAGATGTTGCCCAGGATCCCCAGAGCCTGGATGTGGTGACCCAGCCTATAACGGCGGGTGTTCCCTTCGACTGTTAAAGCCTTTGCTCCTTTTCTGTTCAGCAGTGACACGTGGAATCCCTCTGTGAGCCGCACTGGGTGTGCGTTACACGGCTCTGCAGCTTACAGGAGGCCTTGAGAGACTGCAGCCTGCCCAAGAGACGGAAGACACCCCCTTCCGAACCTGGGCCCCCACCATCCAGCCCTCTCAAAGCGTTTATTGACTGTCTACTGTGTTCCAGGCTCCGAGGACACAGAAGGCGCAAGAACAGGGCAGAGCACGTCAGTCCTCGAGACCGTGGAACGAGCAGTTAGGCAGTATGACCAGGAAGGGAGATGGGGAGCGGGCAGGCCCGTGGAGGGGAGGCTATAGAACTGGGAATCAAGGGGTCAGGACAAAGGCCTGGAGTCTCCCCAGCAGCACCCCAGCTTTGGCTCTGCCTCACTGAGATGATATTTGAATAGAGAACTGGAGATGGAGGACAGAGCCACAAGACTAGAGATGAGTGAGCCGCTGGGGCCAGAGCCTGACAAGGAGCATGAGGGGCATCGGGAGGGCGCTGGAGCCGGACGAAAGGGCCACAGTGGGGAGACACTAAGGTCAGGCAGCTCTGGAACCTGCAAGCCAAGGGAAGATCTGAGATGGGGTCTTTCTGAGTGTTAGGCAAGGAAACCTGTTGGTCTGTGGCCTTGCTCTAGTCTGAGAGGTGCCATCCAGGCCGAGCACGTGCTTCGGGGGCTCGTGCTAAGTGAAGAGGCCCAGGGCTGGACTTGGCAAGGCTGGAAGCCCCTCTGCCAGGATTCACTGTGTGGCCTGGGGAAAGGATGGCCCCTCACAGGGACTCCACAGGCTTCTCCACAGCTGCCTCTCTGCGGTGGGAAGAGGACCGGCCCACAGCGCCTCTTTCTGCCTTTCTCCTAGCCCAGCCACTCAGATGGCGGCTCGAGACAAGAAAAGCCGCTCCCCTCCCCTAGCCCCTCGGAGGAGGCTGACAAGGCACCCTGAAGCCTGGAGGCTTCTGATCCTCTCAGCTTGCTCCTCAGAGAAGTTTCAATGTGTGGTAATTATTTGGGCAGCGAGGACTTCAATCGTCCTCTGGAGAGTGACAGGATAGTCCTTGTCCTTCAGGAGGGGGTGACCCACCCTGTCATCCCATGCTGGAGATGTTCTGTTCTCATCTGATGCCACACTGACGAGCTGGGCCAGTCTGGAGGAGAAACCATGCTGGAGCCTTCCTCTCAGGGGAGGAGAAGGAACTGGGGGGGGGGCCTCTTGCAGACAGAACCTGTCTTTGGGTCTGGGTCTCACCCTGTGCCTGAGCTGCCACCACGGAAGGTTTTCTGAATTGGCCAGCGAGGGGTGAGGGTCTAGGCAGGCCCTGACAGCTCTTGGTACCTGTTTGATACTTCCTGAGTTGATGGTGGCATTTCTGGTGTGAATCCAGCTCCTGGGGTGCAGCTGTGTCTCCAGGTCCCTACCCCATCTGCCACCTCACTGAGGGTGTCAGGCTCCTGACCTCCCCTGCTCCAGGCCCACATCACCTTCCAGAACGACCCCATTATGAACACAGCTAGGATCCTTCCTCCCTGTTGCTTTTCCAGTGGGGCCTCTTTTCTCCCTCAAGTCTCACAAGCACTTCCGAGAGAGCCATATCGACCGACCGCCCCTGTAGGTTGCCATGGAAACGGAGCTTTTTCTTTCCTCCCTCCTGTTTACCTTGGTCAGGGGACTGCGGCAGAAAGCAGCCTGTCGCTGGAGGAGAAGGGAGAGTGGCGGGGAGGGAGGGAGTGGGAGCGGGGAGGGGGGTTGGGAGCGGGAGGGAGAATCAGCTCGCCTTAAACCAGATCATTCCGGTTCGGAGTGGCTCTCCCCCGCAGCCTGGGCCCCTCTGCAGTACGGCACTGCAGCGCTACACGGGGGCTGTGCAGGGGGGCGGGAGGGAGGGGCCGCACCCGCAAAGCTTTAGTGGAGAAGGTCCTAGACCCACGGTAGCCGTCTGAGTTCCACGTGGACCTCCCTGTGTCCCTGGGGGTGCTGCCCCGGGGTGGCTGCCATGTTCCTCAGGTTGTCATTGTGCAAGTGTCTACCCCATGATAAAGGGCTGGGAGCTGAGATCCAGCCCTTGCTCTGTGTACTCTGAGTGCCCTGGCCCAAGAGGCCTCACGCTGTGTACCAAGCAGGTCCTTGGCGTGGCCTCGAACTTAAAATTCCCCAACCAACTGCCTTAGAGCAAGAACCCCGATTATATATCGGAGCTCCCCAGCACTGCCTCGCCTCTCCCTCACTTTGCACGTTTCTGCTGGCTTCTGTGGCAGGCTTCTTTCCCTTCCAGAAGGCTCCAGAAGGTGGGGGCTGTCCCTGGAGAACTAGCTCTGCGCGCTCCTCTGAGATCCCTACCAGCGTCCTCCGTCCTCGGTACCTGGTTACTCTCTGACTCGTTTGCTGGATAGAACCCCTGCCTCCGGTGCAATCTGCCTGAATACAGGCCTGTGCCCCCGTGGCTTCCCGGCCGGTGGACACTAGATGCACAGTTAGCGTGGGCTCGGGTCGCTGCAAGCCGCGGAGGCCACGACCTGGCCCTGAGCTGCCCGCCTCGCTGCCCGCCAGGGGGCGGCAGAGAAACCACCCTGGGCGGCTTCTCGGCGAAACGGGAGGCCATCTTACCTTCCGAAAACCCCGACCCGGCTCCCCCGCAGTGTGGACACTGGGAGCTTGGCCGGGACAAGCGACTGGCGGTGGCACCGGGGGGACCTGGTGTCCGCCTCTGGCACGGCTCCCTGGCCCTGCCCCAGGCTTGGCCAGGCTGCACTGCGGCTCGGCGGGGCCACGCCCATCTGGGGAAGGGTCCCTTCCTTTGGGCTCTTCTGCTCGCAGTGGCCCTGGGGGCACGATGCAGGCAAGGTCTGGCTTCAGGAGAGCTGGTAACTCCCTTGGCAACCACACTTTGGCTGACCTTGGCCTATCCTGTGAAATATGGCTAAGCCCAAGCTTATGCTCCAATACGATGTTTTTGTTTGGTTGGTTTCTGGTTTGGTTTGGTTTCAAGAAGCCCTGGCTGTCCTGGAACTCACTATGTAGACCAGGCTGGCCTCAAACTCAGAGATCCACCTGCCTGGGCCTCTGAAATGCTGGAATGAAAAGCACGTACTCACCGCACGCCCTTTCCACACCAATTAGCTATGCAGAAAGTGTATGGAGAAACGCTGGACGGACAGCCGATCCGGCTCTGCCACCAAGGAGGGAAAGGAAGTTGCCCTTGAAGTCTTGGGCCTGTGATGTGCTGGCAGCTGTGTGCAGCCGCCACGTTCACCATTCCTAAGGGTTCTATCTGAGTGGCAGGCAGCGCAGGGTGGGCAAGGAACAGTTGCTGACACTTTAATGCCGAATCTGAGTTTGCTTGTTGGAGGATGGAGTTTCTGTAGTAAATAAGAGCCTCAGCCACCTGGCTGTAAACAGATTTGCTCTCTCACAAGGGGATGGGAGAAATTTTGGATATTTGCGGTACACACCAGAGCCTTCTCAGCTCTAGACTCCTGGCAGCTTTGCTTAGAAGATTCAAGAAAGATAAACTGATGTGCCTGTCCCTTCTAAGGTGACACACCCTGACGCCTGCTTTATTTCACACATGCAATTGCTGTAAGGATCCTGGTTTGATGTAGGGTATCAAAATCGTAAGCGGCCCAAGTGTACAGCTGTCTCTGTCCTCTCCACTAACCCTAGAGCTGTGCCAAGGAGCCACACTGAGCCGGCGGCCTTCCTGCCTGGCCGCTCCGTGAGCTGAGAAGTCTCACTTCTGTATCTGAGGCCAGGGTGTCAGTCAGCCTTGGTGGAGCAGGACGGTGGATCCGCTGATGTCCTCTTCACCAGGTAAGGCCCTCCTCCCTCCACTTGCTTTCATCTGGCTGAGGAGAAAAAGATGTGGTACAGTAATGTTCTTGCTTGAGATTATGCTAGTGAGGAAGAAGCTTTGGGCAAGACACTAAAATCACACACACTTAGCACACCAGATTTTTTTTGTTGTTTTGTTTTTTGTTTTGTTTTGTTTTGTTTAAATATACCACCTTCCCCTTCATTTTTTCCCAAGACTGGTTCTTAAAATTAAGGTTCCAAACACCAGGCTGTATCTGAACGAGTGAGGACTTAACAGTCACACCCTTGGAGTCACTTAAACTACAGACTTAGCCAAGAAAAGATACATTCCCAATATCCAGAAAAACAAGATGTTTGTTTGAAGCCGAGGGAAATGGTGGGGATCCGGCCCAGGGGTCACATGTCCTGTGCTAGGCAGGTCCCCATAACCTTGCTGTACCCCAGCCCTTACTCTAGTCTCAGGGCTACAGTGCTAAGCAGTTTAGGCTGTGATGGCGAATTTATTGTTATTTGTTTTAGGTACTATCCTTTTCATCTCTAATTAAAATGTCACCTAAATGGCGGTCTCGGTTTGAGACACACACACACACACACACCCCGCTCTGGAGAGCAGCAGTGACTAACAACTACACAATATTATCACTAGGCAGCAGGCTAAGCACTTTACACAGGCATTTCAGCCTCACGGTGGTATCAGGAGATAATATTAACCCCACTTTCGGGGAAATGACACTAAAGCATTTTACTATTATTTCAGAGGTTCGAGAGAGAGGAAGAGACAAGTCTGTGTAATCAGACTGTCAGCCTAACGTCAGGGTAACCAGGCAAAGACAAGCAATGTTCACTCCTGGCTGTGGCTGTACAGTTCTCTGCCGGACAGTTACAACAGGAACAGGGGAGACAGTGCACAGCTGTAGAACAGGCTCCCCAAACCTCTTTTTTTTTTTTTTTTTTTTTTTGGTTTTTCGAGACAGGGTTCCTCTGTGTAGCTTTGCGCC